AAAGGGAATGTCTCGCATTTAAACATATTGAAGTAAGCATCATATATGACTAAGCCAGCTCACTTACAAGTTCGGTGTACTTTTTTTTTAAAAACTGCTCTAGACATCACAGTCCTCCGTTTAGTAAATATGCTGCTCAGGATGTCATGGTTTCATTACGTTATCGTACCTTGCACAACATTGACTGAGAGCCAATTGAGGGCTGTGATATCCGCAAGTCGTACTCACGGACGCCAGATATGAACGCCTCTACAGTTATATCGCCCTTGGCCTTGATCGCTTCATGGCTTATGGAAAGGAAAGATTCGAATGATATTATTGTGACGTTATGAATGCCAAGGTGACCTTGAAATTCTCTCCCCGATATACCTTTCCCATTTTCGCGAGAGTGTAGCTTTGAAACTAAAGGGGCTTAAGTATTAAGAAGGGCAGGATTGTGAACAGCACCAAAAGATCTTCAAGATGGCTGTTTCAGTTCAAGCCCCATATAAATATGGAACACTCCCATCAATTTCTCAACATTGGAAATGTTGAGCCGTTCACGAATAGACGTTCACGAAAACCTGGACGCTGTACCGCATAGCAGCAGAGTAAAGCGGCACAGCCTACATCGCCTGGCTGCGGCCGCGACAGTCTGAGCGCCCGCCGCTACGTCTGCCACGCGTCGCTTGACTGCCGGACCGGGTCATGTGCCCTTAAAGGTAACGCGTCTCATCGGCCGAGGCGCAGACGGGCAGAAGTTATACAGGCGAAATATACGACTCAATCATATCTTTGAACAGACCGCACTGGTTTTAAAGTCGGTAGGAAGCAATGTTTCACGATGGTTGTCCTCACACACTCAGCGTTCACCGTTTGTTGGTCCTGCAGAGGGCCAACCCCGTTCGGATTTACAAAAACTGCAACCCCGGCCAAAGCTGCTGTCATGCTGTCTTGCTCTTAAGACTGTGCGCGAGCAGGCTGAAGTTGCTTATGTAATTTGTTTCACAAGTTGATTCTGCAAAAAGAATGGACACAGTGGTTCCTGTGGGTAGAACACTAGGGACACATTGTCGTTCACGGTCAATGTCTGAGCGGGCATTCTGTCCAAGCGCGGGGTGCCTACCGGCTACCAATCTATCAACATGGTGAAAGGCCCCCTGGTCGATTCGAAGGGCATTGGAGAGATACATCATGCATCGGTCCTTTTCCTAACGCGGGAGGCCCTCTGACCCGGACGGTTGGCCCCAGATCGACGCAGGAGCCCTCATTAACACAGTAAAGTTCCGTATCGCTGCAGGTAGTCTAATAATTGGTGCCGAGACCCCGGTTCGGCTTAACGGGCGCTTGGCTGAAATGGGATAGGGGGCCTCGCACGGTACTGGGCCCCGTCTGACACAGGACTCTTCCATTGCCTTATTGCGATTGCCATCATGAGTTCTTATATCCCCTTTCATAGTCAGAGGGCCCCGACCAACGCAAGGGGCCCTCTGGCGTTCGAGGTCGCGTCCTTGTCCCTGTTTACAAATGTCCCCATGAACGACTCGGGACACCTAGCCAACGCAGGACCCCTATTAGGGACTGTGAACCCTTGACCGTTACGAGATCCCCTCATTGTGGCAGACACCCCGACCAATACAAATCGCCGTCCCGGCCACATTCTTGCTTGGGAAATATACCCCAGGGCTTAGACCGACCCGAAGCCGACTGCTTGGTGTTGGTGGTTTGCTGGCTGAAATAACGACCCACATTGTCCCAAAGGTTCCAAATCGGTGTACGACTATGACCGGCATTTCAGGTCACAGCCCTACGGGTAGTGGTCCTTAATGCGACCTACAGCCAGCCCTTTCAGTCATTCGGGCACTTGAGCATTCCCGTCAGGCCCTTGATCTTTGGTTTCGAGGGGACTTTCGGGTCTCCTCGAACACGGCCCCTGGCCGAATTGGAACCGCGGACCGACACAAGGCCCCCTATCAGGCACTTTTGGTATCTGACCGACACAGGGGCTCCTCATTGTTTCAGAACACGGGAACTATGCAAGTCGCGGGCTCCAGTCTTATTCCTGCGTGGAAAATCGCTCCCCAGAGCTCAGACCGGCACGGTCACAGCTGGTCGATGATGGTATTCTCTGCCCCAAATAGAGGCCCGCATTGTCCCATGGGTTCTCAATCGGTGCAAGAGGACCTCTGACTGACATCTGAGGTGACGGCCCCACGGGCCCTTGATCGGCCTTGGTTTCTCTTCAGCGACTCATGCGAACACTGCCCTCCGCCGAATCAGAACCCCTTGCGAACATGAGACCGGATGTTCGGCACTGTGGACCCCTAGCCCCCTGTGTCTGTGAGCGGCCGACACAGCGCCCCCTTGGGAAGTTGTCCCTCCTTGGGAATTTGGCCATCAGGCCCAGACCGACAAGGAACTTCCTCGGTACTCGTTGTACCTGACAGAAATAGACGCCCTCGTCGACTCAGCGGGACCCATTCGGTGCAAACTAGTGGCCCTTCGGGCCTCTCTAGCCTAA